GTCTTCCTATCAAGAAAGTGAGAAGCGACAATGGGACCGAATTCAAAAATACTCTAGTTGAGGAGTTTCTTGATGAAGAGGGCATCAAGCATGAGTTTTCAACTCCATACACCCCTCAATAAAATGGTGTAGTAGAGAGGAAAAACCGTACACTCATTGATATAGCAAGAACAATGCTAGATGAGTACAAGACGCTGGACATCTTTTGGTGTAACGCCGTCAACACTGCTTGCCATGCCATCAACCACCTCTACCTACACAAGAAGTTGAAGAAAACTTCATATGAGCTTCTAACTAGTAACAAGCCAAAGGTGTCCTACTTTAGAGTGTTTGGGTGCAAGTGTTTCATACTTAATAAGAAACCTAAAATCTCTAAGTTTGCACCTAAAGTTGATGAAGGTTTTCTTCTTGGTTATGGATCAAATAAGCATGCCTACCATGTCTTCAACAAAACCTCCGGGAGAGTTGAGATTCTGGTAGATGTGACATTTGATGAATCTAATGGCTCTCAAGTGGATCAAGTTGATTCAAATGTTGTAGGAAAGGAGGATCCACCATGTGAAGCGATCAAGCAATTGGCTATTGGTGATATTAGACCACAAGAAGAAGTAACTGAAGTCGAGGTTCCTCAAGTTGCTGCTGCACCTATTTCCGCTGACGTACCTAATGCTACACTACAACAATCATCTGCTACAACTCCAGAGCATGGCAGTGCCGCCGTACTTGATGGCGAGCCTTGGTGGCGAGCCGAATCACGGGAGAAATCATTGTGTCACTTGTGCTTGATTTACATTACTTGCATTTCATATTGTTGGTTGAGGTGATTTCTAGGGTTTCTAGTCGATCTACTTGTGTGGGGTGTTCCTATAACTTCTAGCTCTTAATCTGTGACTATCATACCTGCAGTAGGCTGAGAAATTTCTCCGATCTAAGTTTCCGTTCACTGATTTTGAACTGTGACTTGAAGTTGTCTGCAGGTGCGGCAGTGCCGCTGTTCTGGTCCGACAGTGCCACAGTCCAGCAGTGCCGCCCTCCAGAGCGGTAGTGCCGTAGGGTGAATTTGATAAAAGTTTGAGTATTTGTTTTGATAGGCCTATTCACCCCCCTCTAGGCCAACCAGAGATCTACAGATCTCAAGGAAGATTCGATCAAGGGGAAGTGTTATGAAACGACGTCTGTTCCGAACAGACACCTTTCTATGGTGATCTCATCCCGTCTGTATGGATGGTTTAGGATTAGGATTAGCAGTTAATTATGTGATTAGGCATAACAGTTAATGCCGTCACCAAAGGGCCTGTCCTTTGGTGAACGGTTGTAACACTTGGAGACACCGCTTCAGATTGTATATAATCCCTTTTACAGATCAATGAAAGATAGTTCTCTCAATCATTTGTTCCATTTATATTTCACTTCACATCAGTTAAAACACAGAGTTACAAAGGAAGAGGGGGCGCTTAAGAGAAAAAAAAGGATGTAAAAAAAAAGATAAACCAAGCTAATGAGATTATGCTAGATTTTTTAACCATAATCCTATTGAGGGGGAGTACTTCTTTTTAGCACGCAATAGGAGCAGCACAAGCTCTTTTTTGAACTCTCTCTTTGAGTCTTGGATTGAAGGCTGGACTTGGCTGAAGATTAGCCCATTTCTTGCTTTCCAAATTGTCCAACACATAATTATTATGATCTCTATGAAGAAAGGCACTTGAAGTTGTCTTTTGAACATTTCCAAGTTCTGAAGGAAGTCCATCTGTTGATCTATCTCAATCTGCAACTAGTTCCAACAGGATGTCGCAAAAGGACTGTGAATGAAGAAATGACTCTGGAATTCTTCTATTAGACCATTGCATAGAACACAGCTGTAGTCCTGCAGTTCCATGTTTTTTCTTCTTAATAGCTCTCTGGTGCTTAATCTGTCCTTAAGCAATAGCCAACCGAAGACTTTGTGCTTGTTTTGATAAGAGCTTTTCCAAATCCTTTAAAAAGCAGGATGGACTGTGGCATGACCACTCAAATGCTTGTATACCTTGGAGACTGAAAAATTACTTGATTGCCTGATGCAGCTCCAAGTGTCTAGTTCTTCAGTTAGTGTCAGTTGCTGAAAATCTAAGTTGATCTGCTCCAGCTGAGCAAACGCTTGATTTGACAAAGGCAGGTGAAAGAGGAATGACAAATCAGGGCAATCTTTTCTAGTTGCAAGTGTGGTGGTTTTGGATTTTACAAATGAGAACAGCTCTGGGTAGGCGTGCTTCTACTTTATTCCTGCAGGCATTGCACAATCTGCTTGGTATATGCGAAGTCAACTATCCTGGCTAATGGCTACTAATGAGTTCCTTGCAATTCAAATTTCATCACGCAAATAACTGTCCATCAAACACATCCAAATATCTTTACCTCAAACAAGTTATTTGTTCATAAAAGGACTAACGTAGGTAACTAAAAGCGGAGGATCAACAGTTGACAACAGCCATGTACGAAGACTTGTAATGGTCCTGAGTTCCTTGCAATTCAAATTTCATACGCAAGTAACGATCCATCAAACACAAATCCAAATATCTTTACCTCAAATGAGTCAATATCGTGCTATTTGCTCATAAAAGGACTAATGTAGTTAACAAAAGTGGAAGATCAACAATTGAGCACGCTAATACTCAGGTTAAAAGCACACATTGCTGAGAGAGGCCGAAATTGGGCGTCAGGATAGTCGTCTTCTTGGCCATCCTTATACCTGCCTATCTCCAGATTGTAGTGTGAAAGTAGAAACCACTGCATGCTTTTGACGACCGCAGCAGTTGTCGCGGAGAAACTTTTGGCTCAAAACTAATTAGCCTACCAATCAGCAATGAGGAATAGCAGACAAACTTCTAGTTCCTTACTATCGCAAGAAATTTCTGTTTGTAAGCATTCATGAGTGCAATTCTACAATTAAAAGTTTTATACATTATACAACACTGAGATAGACAGATCACAAGTAAACTACTATTTTGAACAGAACATCGACATCCTGTTATAAGCATTCATTAGTGTGATTCTACGATTGAAAGTTTTATACACTATACAACAACGAGATATACATATCACAAGAAAATTGCCATTTTGAACAATCCTCACCACCATCATCTAAGTCAAGAGAAGAAGCAATGTGCATAATTTCTTGCCATTGATTCATTATTATTGTAACCATTAAACATCTTCTAAAAGTACAAACCAGATTGACACCCTTCCAAAACCGAGCTTTAGTTTTGGTTTATTCACAACGAGAGCAGAAAGTTTCAGGATATTTGTGCAAACAAAGTAAAAAGAAGACTTTCTACTTCTGAAAGAGTAATAGTGTCACCCTCCTAATCTGGGTGGATTGGGGGATATGTTGTTTGACTTCCCCTTGATTAGAGGCAGAATTGGTGGATTTTGAGGGAGATTAGAGGGAAAAGAACGGCTGCCCTAGGGCTGGCCGCGCCTAATGGAGGGGGAAAAGCAGCAGCAGCAGGGTTCTGCAGAGGATCTGGCGCGCGGAAGACGATATGTACAACTTTTTAGGGAAAATTTGGGGGAAGAATTGGGGAGAGAAAGGAGGAATTGCTTTAGAACACGAGCAGTTCTTAGCAAGGGGAGGGGTAAAGGGGACAACCCGACGCATGGTGGAGGGCGGCGAGGGCGCAGATGGCAGCGACAGGGGCGGCGGCGCTAGGGCAGCGAGCACATGTGAGCGGGGAGACAATGAAATAAATGGTTTTACCCCAAACTATTCTTGCTTAATTAAAAGGATACATCTCCCCTTATATTTACAGGGAGAACTTGACTTACAAGCAATCCCAGCTTCTGTACTCCTCCTAATTCGTGGGATGTGCAGCGCGCTAAACTCTTCCTAATTCTAAATCTAGGTGGGATGTGTAGCGCGCTAAAGTTCACGCTAGGCCCAATTGGCCCGTCTTGGGTCCAACACCTCCGTAGCCCGTCATGTCTGGATTGGACCATGACAAATAGAAATATTAACATATTACAGAGATATAATTGACTCAAAGAGTACAAATCTAAAGCAGGCCTTTAACTAGAGCAACCTAGCAGTTCTCCACATCCTAGTGGAAGCAGCACCAGCTAATGTGGATCGGTGCATAATCAGATACCTTGTGGAGTTGTGGTTCAGAAATACCTTTTTCAAGCTTCTTAGCCACTTTATCCCCGAATATGACCAAAACTACAAAAGTATTTTCCTTCAACACTAGAACATGAAAAAACAGAATAAATGGCAGTGCTCCATACTAACTATTTTAAATAAGATATCTGGGGCAGCAAAATTTGGAAAGCCAGGCACATCTGACTCAAGGAAGTAATCAAAAGCTCATAAGGAAAACGAGAACAAACCTACAGCAATTACGGAAAAGAATTTTTTTCCATGTTTGTAAAGAATACTCCAATGAAGTAACTATGTAAGTGCATCACAGCAAATGATGCAGCCAGTCAACAATTCTTCAGATACTATTTACGGGTATTGGACTTCATCTACCTATTTCCATGCAAATACTAATTTCATCAGATGCGCGGTATTCATAGATTTTTTAATAGGCACAGCTAGAAAATTTGTTATCAACGAATTGTTGAAGTGTAGCAGAAAACATCACACAGTATTCATAAAATTTTTAATTTACAAACCACCAGATTACAAGAAACTTTTTGGAGGCAGTATAAAAACAGGTTCAGTGTTTACATCAATAATCACCTAAGCTATGAAATAAGAACTAATGAAATGCTCCTCTGAACTTGGCCTATCAACTTCTCAGCATAAAGAGGAATGACCAGATCAATTAGAATGTAGAAGAATGAGTAGTTAAGATGTTTAGAAATTGCAATTATTATCACTAATTAGAATCCAGAACAGCACACCATCTGGCTAACATGTAACAGCTTGGTCCTTCATATAAGAAAAAAAGAAATAATAAGACAATGTAATGATGTAAACTGAAAACCACCTTGAAAGCAAGGGGCAGAACACCACTGTCAGTCTGTCATTGTATCTGCTTGAAGTAGTAGTCTTTACGCAGTGGAACTATGCTCTCAATGAAAGTATGTGTGCTAAACGAAAAGTCGAGCTCTGGCCAGGCTGTCGTTAGTTCTTCTGAACTTGAACTTGGGTCAAAACAGTATAGACTCCTAGCCAACAACTGCACCCAAATCTTTCCGTCGTGGAAGAGTGTGTGTTTTGGAGTAAAATAACATGAAGGCATCAACCAAGGCAAGGAGAAGTGGTATCTGGAAGTCCAGTCCTGCTTATCATGGCTATTGAGCATCAGGATGTCCATTGTACGAGGCGGGCCTTCCAGTGCACCATCCACAATCAACAAGCATAGCCTTCCCTCAAGCTCTGTCAAAGAGCAATGGCCTCCATAAGATTTGCGTGGAGGAAGCATCAACACATCAAATTTTTCACTCTCAAGATTCAAGCAATTGATACGTGATGAAGCGATGTAGCGGAACTTTGTCAGATAGTACACCATCCCATTAACATGCACCCCTCTGTCTGTCGGAGCCCCATGAAAGCTCCCAACTTGTCTCCAGACACCAGATCCAATTGTGTATATCTCACATTGTACCTTGAACGAGTCAATGTGAGCTCCTGGATAGAAATGCACAACCTTGTGTTCCCTTTTTTGTGGGCAAAACCCCAAGCAGTGCCAATTACAGGATGAGAACTGGCTGCTCCCTGCCGTGTACATTGGCATCGGCAACATTAAAGATTCACCAGTCGTCGGGTTCAGAACCTCCACAGCTCCTGTGCTGTCACCTAGGCACAGCAGGCCATTGCAAGAATTGTGCACAAACACGCTGCGAGACGCTGCGGGCCTCGACAGCTGGTACATGGACTTGTTGTCGTCAGCGAGCACCATGGCGAGCGACCTGTCATTTGCCCGGTCGTTAAGAGCAGCAGCAGCTTCTGCTGGCCGCGGCTTAGGTGCTCATGGATGAAGTGTGGATCTGTGAGCACGGACATCCATGACTTGCACACCAGTCTGCAAGCCGCAAGCGCACGGGCAGGAAGCCTGCGGAAGACCTCAGTGAGGGCATCATCGCAAATCAACCGGGCAGGATCCTCCACTGCTCTAGCTTTCTTGTGCTCCATCAATTCCCCGCTAGGCCAAGACAAGTCCGCAGCTAGCTGAGACGGCACAACCGCCAGCGCCCACTGGTTTTTGCATCCACGAAACAACCGCGCAAGATTTCAGTTTCTGCACAAAAAAATCAGTACTTCATACAGAAACAGTAGAAAGCCGCAAGGAACTATGGCCCTTATGGGAACTAAAAGAATCCCATACCTATCATACAGCCCAGACAGGAGACAGCCACAGCCACATCGCAGGATGCCCCGGCCCTAGTAGTCCTTGAATCAAGGAAACAAATCGCACAATTTCAGCGCAGCAAGCCGAAAAACAAACGAACCGAAGCGATGAAACGCCGGCACGAGATGCGAACCTGCATTGCAGCCGCCGAGACCCCGCGCCTCATGAACCCCCGCACCCCCTGCCAGGAGCAGCGAAATTAACAGCGGCTCCACACGGCCCCAACGAACTCAGCAGCACATGGTAGGTGCGGGCGACTCGGTGTCGAGTTCTTGTTGGCAAGTATGAAAAGAAATGAGAAGAATCCCAACCGACGAACCTACCGGCCGGCCAAACCGAAGCGATTCCTCTCGAATCGAGCGTCGCGCGAGGCGGAGATCAACGCGGAGGAACACGACGGCGCCGAGCGGGACAGCGCATCGGGCTCACCGACCGATCGGCGGCGGCTGGCGGCGGGAGGCGACTTGCCCTTTTCCTCCACCCGTTTCTGTCTCCTTGGTCGCGTTAGCCGGCTTCGGTTCGGTTGGTTTTGGAAGGGGTCGGGGTGGGGGGGGGAGAGAACGAGAAACGGAAATTTGGGTGGGGTGGGTGCCCGACTGCCGCGGGGGTATCGCCGTGTCGACGCGGTAGGAGAGGAGGAGGGAGCGTGGCGTGGGACACGAATCGCGAGGCCGGCGGACGGATGTGGGGTCTGTGGCCTGTGGGTGCGCGCTTGGGTCCGGACCCGCTGCGTCGCTGTCGTCGCCGTAGCGAGAGAAGTGTTTAAAAGCAGTAGTGATCGAGAGAAAGAATGAATCGAACCATACTTTTTCATTGATCGATCTCACAATTTATACAGGTTGAAGCGACGTCACGGGAGTTGTCAGACGTCCGTTCGGGGACGCGGATACGCGGCTTCCCAACGGGTAGCGATCCGGTGATGTCTTTCGAAAGATGGAGTAGTCCGTCACGAAACTACAATGATTACGGGGAAGAGATTACACCGATGGTTGGATTTAGATCTAAGGCTAAGGTTGATCCATGTCACTAATCTGGTTGGATGGGATCTCTGTAATCCTATTGGTTCTTCTCCTTGATGAGCGGATTGCTTCAGAACACTCCCCTGATCGCATCCAGTCTTGAGATCAAATAATATCTTCAGGCCTCTAAAAAATCTTGTAGGAAAAATATGAGGTGCTATATTGTTGATATGTCATTAAACTCCTCAAAAACCCGATTGGGAAAAATCGGGAGAAATAATATGACATATTTTTTAGATTATTGTCCATTGTAAACTTATACGGAAAAAAAACTTTATAGGAAAAATCCATAATTTAGTTTAGAACAATATAATGGTCTATGGGCCATGTCCTCCTCCAAAACCACGTGGAAAATATGAGGAAGAAAATGCCTTTGATATTCCCTTAAAAACCTCTTGTGAGGAAAATAGGAAATATGACATATTATATATTAGATATTGCCTCATTAAAACCTTTTATGAGAAAGTTTTGTAAAAACTCATAATAGGAAAAGAGTGCAATATAATATTTAACACAAATGATTATTTTCAGAGATTATCTCCCCACAAACTTGCAAGTCTTTAGTCGTCGATAGCATACCAATACTATGAACAAAATTTTGGAACATGGGACACAGTAATGACTTAGTGAATAAATCTGCAAGATTATCATAAGACTTTGTTTGCAAGATTTTTATTTCTCTATTCTTTTGTAATTCATGAGGATAAAATAATTTGGGAGAAATATGTTTAGTTATATTGCTTTTGATATAACTTTGTTTCCATTTGTGTAATACAAGCAGCATTATCTTCATAGATAATTGTGGGTGATTCAATGGGACCAATCCCACTAGATTGCTGTATGTGATTAATCATTCTGCGGAGCCATACACACTCCCGTGATGCTTCATATAGTGCAACAATTTCACAATGATTTGTGGAAGTTGTTACTAAAAATCTGTTTAGATGACTTCCATGATATAGTTTGTTCCTCCATATAGGAATACAAAGCACATGCAGGATAGGCCATTATAGGGATCGGATAAATAGCCAAAGATCGGTGTATCCAATTACTGATTGGATCTTGGTTTCTTTGGAAAAATAATCCAAGATCTTTGGTGCCATTGAGATATCGCAAGATTTGTTTGGCTCCGTCCAATGACGTTTAGTTGGAGTAGCACTATATCTAGCCAATGAAATTTATTGCAAATGCAATGTCGAGTCTAGTTTGATTTGCAAGATACATTAGTGCTCCAATGACATTTGAGATATGGGACCTCGGGCCCCGATGCCTCTTCATCTTCGTTCTTTGGTCTAAATGGATCTTTCTCCATGTCTAGAGTCCGAATAACCATGGGAGTTTTGGATGGATATGATTTATGCATATTAAATTTCTCTAGTGTTTTTTCGGATATAGGCGATTGATGCACTAATATTCCCGAGTGAAGGTGCTCGATTTGTAAACCCAAGCAAAATTTAGTTTGACCTAAATCCTTCATCTCAAATTCCGTCTTTAAGAGATTATGTGCTTCATTGATATCATGTGGGTTGCCAATGATATTTAAATCATCCACATATCTGGATATAATCTGAGAACCCTGTTTGGGATTTCTTTATGAAGACACATGGGCAATCATCGTTATTGGTGTATCCCTTTGTAATAGGAATTCACTCGATCGGTTGTACCACATCCGTCTCGATCGCTTTTTAAGCCATATAGTGACTTATTAAGTTTCACACAATATGTGGCGCGACTTGCTTTAGGATTCGAATAGGAATTCCATCGAGAACCTTCATGTAAATGTCCGAATCAAGTGACCCATATAAATATCATTGTCTTTGCATCCATCAACCTGCATAGATAGATGATTTTGAACTGCCAATGCTATTAAATATCGGAAAGTTATTCCACTCATAACTGGAGAGTATGTTTCATTGAAATCAATGCCGAGTCTCTGCGTGAACCCTTGTGCTACAAGTCTCGCTTTGTATCTCGCCACCTCATTATTTTCATTCCGTTTTGAATGAAAAACCATTTAAATCCACAGGGAAGATTTGTGAAGGTGTAGGTATTGCTGATGAGAATACCTTTCTTTTTTGTGAGCGAGGCTAACTCTTGCTTGAATTGCTTCTTTCCATTTGTTCGATCCGGCGCTTTTGCACTCGCCATGGTCTTGGGATCTGGATCAGTTTGGATAATTTCGGCAATTGTTTTGGCAAAGTATATGTCGACAATTGTAGTCTTTCGGTCATATGATTCTCTAGAATCAATGTAGTTTATGGAAATTTCTTGTACCCCTCGTGACGGTTCGTTATTTCCCAATCGATAAGCGTCGGGGTGTTCTGATGTCCCAACATCGGTATTGAGTCTGCTTTGTTGATGTGGGATGTGAATTTTGTTTATTCACTTGGTGTCTCACAACTTGTTGTTGTGTCACATTTACTGATTTAGAATTTTTGTTATCCTGTTTCCTTTGGCGTTTAGGAGCCACATCCTGATTGATAGCCTTACTTCTCCTCCTCTTACCTAGAACCGGTTTCGAAGGTGGGAGTTGAATAGTTTTATTTGGTACCTCTATTCTTTCGGGCACATTCCTAAGCGGGATGATAGGATTTAGTGACACATTTATAATCGATAAATCGTCTGGCGATTATTTGCTATGTTTTGCAAATTTATGATTTTCTGAACTTGAAGTTCGATTCTTGTGTACGTGGATCATGAGTGGAGATGTCTTGTGCATCCCAATTTATTTCCGGGCATTGATTTTGGTACTTGTAATCTCCCCTAATGCCGGGAAATGATCCTCATTGAAGATCTGATCGGTAGATCGGGTCGTGAATAGGTCCCTGTAAGGGCTCTCAGTGTTAATGATCGACGGAGATTGATACCCGACATAGATCCCTAATTTCTGTGTTGACCCATAGATGTACGCTTTGGTGGTGAAATCGGTACATATCTGATATGGCCAGTATTTCATGAGATGGGAAATACTCGGTGGATTTCCGTACTAATTGTAGTGGGGAAGCGATTATGATATGCGGTTAATCGCAATTGTAGTAAGTCGGTGAGACGTGTAAGATCGCATGACCCCAACATGAAGTCGGTAGATTACAATTACGCAATAGTGGTCTTGCTATTAGCTTAACTCTTTTGATAAGAGCTTACGCTAAACCGTTTTGAGTATGGACATATGGGCCGAGTCTTTGAATTTGAATTCCTAGAGCCATGCAATAGTCATTGAAAGCTTTTGAGGAAAATTCAGCGACATTGTCCATTCTAATAGATTTTATCGATGTTCAGGATGATTTGCTCTAAGTCTAATAACTTGAGCTATTATTTTGGCAAAAGCATGGTTGCGTGTGGATAATAAGCACACGTGATTCCATCGTGTAGATGCATCTATTAGAACCATGAAATATTTGAATGACCCGGATGATGGAGTAATAGGACCACAAATATCTCCTTGAATTCTTTCAAGAAATTTAAGTGGTTCAACTTTGATCTTAAGATAAGATGGTCTTAAAATCAATTTCCCGAGTTGCACATGCGGTG